GAGATGTTTTAAAAACTGCAATTAAATTTTAAAACAACAGCCAACAAAAACTCAAATAGTTAAACTTGTAGGCCCAGAAAAACTGTAATTTTTACAAGTTGAGCAGAAAAAAACCATTTGCTTTGGGTCACTTTCAAAGCTTTTTGTTTTGTTTTATGCCATTCTCAAAACAGAACAGCAGGAATCCTAAAAACGCCAACTTATGAAGAAGTTAAAGGTAAAGGTTTCCTCGACTCTGGAGGGAGGTGCTCATCTCCATTTCTTAGTCAAAGAGCCGGCGTTGTCCATAAACACCTCCTGGGTCATGTTGCCAGCATGACTGAATAGAGCACCGTTACCTTCCTGTTGAAGTGGTACCTTTGATCTAGTCACATTTGCATGTTTTCAAATTGCTAGGCCGGCAGAAGTTGGGGATACTAAAGGGACCTCACTCTGTCCCGTGAATTCAAACCGCCAACCTTCTGGTCAGCAAGTTCTGCAGCTTAGCATGTTAACCTGCTGTGCCACCGCGGCCCCCTATGAGGAAATTAGTGGGATTTAATTCCAAATACTTATTAATAGAATCATGCTATACACTTGATTTCGAGAAAATATGGCAACAGGATCTGTCAATTAACATAAGGATAAAGAATCTCCTGCCATATTTGCAAGTAAATATTTAATTTTACATCCAATACAAACAAGAAAAGTAGTAAAGTACTGTACTCAAATACCAAAGTTAATATTCCAACCCATAAACGCAGGACTATCTGTATGTCTTCAGCTTGAAAAATGCGAGAGTAAATATGAACTTGAAGATACAACAGAAACAGAGACTACATTGAGAAGATATTCAAATCCACAAGCATGTGAACAATTTCAATAGAAAGGAGGAAACCTAACCCTAACCCTAACCCTGGACCTCCGAAGACACTTCGGAGGTCCAAAAAATCGGAGGTAAACAAAATCTAGCTATCAGTATTTTTTTAAAAAAAAAAAAACAACCTCTAAAATCAGGGCAGTAAATAATGAACAACACTCAGAAAACAGGAGAGTTCCAACCAAGAATCAATCAGTGCCAGCTAACATCTCCCACAAAAGGATTCCCCCAGGCAGGAAGCAGCCAGGCTTTGAAGCTGCAAGGCTATTCAATGCTAATCAAGCTGGCCAATTGCAACATTCACACTTCCCTCAAACAGACAAGAGTTCTTTATCCCACCCTGGACATTCCACAGATTTATAAACCCCACTTGCCTAGTTTCCAACAGACTTCAACAACCTCTGAGGATGCCTGCCATAGATGTGGGCGAAACGTCAAGAGAGAATGCTTCTGGGACATGGCCATACAGCCCAGAAAACTCACAGCAACCCAGTGGAAACATCATCCTTATCCTTATATTTACTGATGAGTGCTAATGCCAGATTTTCTCAATTAAGTGTACAATATAATCTGATCCTATGCATGGGTATTGTACTTAGTTCTACTAACTTCCTCACTGGTCAGTTCACTGAGACTTTTTAAATATAGTGTCAGAAGTGCCATGAGAAACTGCAAGTCGCTTCTGGTGTGAGAGAATTGGCTGTCTGCAGATGCGTTGGCCAAGGGATACCCTGGTGTGTTACCATCCTGTGGGAGGCTTCTCTCATGTCCCCACATGAGAAGCTGGAGCTGACAGATGGGAGCTCACACCAACTTGTGGAATTGAACCGCTAACACGACGGTTCAGCCGGCACAAGGCATTAACCTATTGAGCCACCCATTGAGTGTTAATACTGTTTTATTTCTTTCACAGAGTGAAGACCTCACCACTTATTTTATATGCATCCTGTGTATTTTAAACCGTGACAATTTTAGTATGCATTATAGGGACAAGTTCCTCTTAAAAGGGCCAATGGTAATGTAGTCTGTTCTTAAGACTTGCACAAATGCTCTGCTAGCTTGCTGAAACACTAAGGGAAATGTATATACATAATTCATATGTCCCTAGCAGTTCTCTCTCAAAGAAAAGAAGTAATTACCCAAGATTAAACACTAGTAATTTTCCCAGGTGAAACAGATACATTATTTGGGCATAAGGAAGTTAATACACTCGGAGTTAACAAGTTATTTGTTTAAATCAGTCCTTTTGGCTTCTGTAATTAGTTTGAACAAGGCATGTGTCAATTTGGGCCCTCGGGGTGTTTTGGACTTCAACTCCCACAATTCCTAACAGCCTCAGGTCCTTTCCTTTCCTTTCCTTAACTGGCTGAGGGGGCAAAGGAAAGGGCCTGAGGCTGTTAGGAATTGTGGGAGTTGAAGTCCAAAACACCTCGAGGGCCCAAGTTGGCCCACGCCTGGACTACATCTAGAATTGGTCCTACACTGGCATGGACTTGTGGGAGTTGATGCATTTTGGCACCACTTTCACTGCCATGGCTCAATGCTATGGAATCCTGGGAGATGTAGTTTTACAAGGTCTTTTGCCTTCTCTGCCAGAGGTGTGACTACAATCAGCTCTAGTCCAAAGTTTGTTAACATGAACCAAAGTTTGGAAAGAATGTCCTCTCAAGTGTAACTCTGGACAAGAGTTTATGCAACATACAACACTTTTAAGTTTCTACTTTTGCTACATGAAAAAGCAACAAAATCCAAAGCAAATTTGGGATAAAGGGGTCCAAGGCCAAGCACTATCCTTCTCTCCAAACTCTGAGTTTTGTATTTATTGACCTGTGTTACAATGAGAGTAGAATGAATGCAGTTAGACACCACCTGAACTGATATGTATGGCTCAGGGCTACGGAATCATGTAATTCCACAAGGTCTTGATGCTGCAAGTCATCAAGACCTTGTGAAACTACATGATTCCAGAGCTTTCTAAGAACTACAGAGATGCTCGCAGGAACACCTCAGCAAGTGAGAGTCCAAAAGTGGAAGGATAAAACATGGAACCTCAACCCATGGCTGATACCGAATGAGAGACTCCCTCCTAAACATATAGAAGACTGGGCAATTTGGAAGGAGCTGAACAGACTGCGCTCTAGCACCACGAGATGAAGAGCCAAACTTAAGAAATGGGGCTACAAAGTAGAGTCCACAACATGTGAGTGTGGAAAAGAGCAAACCACAGACCATCTATTACAATGCAGCCTGAGCCCTGCCACATGCACAGTGGAGGACCTTCTTATAGCCACACCAGAGGCACTCCAAGTGGCCAGCTACTGGTTAAAGGACATTTAGTATAATGCCAAGTTTCTTAACTTTAAAAACGCATTATGACTGTACTCTCAATTCACTTCTGACACAATAAATAAATACAAGGTCTTGAGCCTCCACTGCCAAAGAGAAGCCTCACCAAACTCCAACTCCTAGGATTGCACAGCATGAGCTGTGGCACTTCAAGTGGCACCCAACTGCATTCATTCTACAGTGTAAACAACGCATCCTGATAAGAGTGCAAAAAGACCTTCCCTCCATGCGGAAGTCCTTTCGGCAGCATGCAACGTGTCAATAAGCATGCAAAGCGCCTGGAAGTTAGGAAACTCAGCTGAGAACTTGAGCATGGCTATCTGAGGCAAGAGATCTCTCAAAGCAATGGTCTGATGCTTTAGAATTGGAAATTGCAGGATTCCTTATATGCCTCCACACCCCTGGCTTTGCAATAAGCTCCTCTCACCTGTTGAAGGGACTTGTGGGTGGGTGCATCTGCACTGCAGAATTAATGCCACGGCTCAATGCTATAGAATCCTGAGTGTTACTGTCACAATGTGTTCTTAGGGCAATATTATATGCTGTTCTGTAAGTCACGCCAAATCTATTTTGTAAGATGGTGGTGGCATATAAATAAAGTTATTACTATTATTATTAACCTCCCAAGGTCTTCATTCAGTCTTGTGTTGCTGTGAATTTTCAGGCCATGTTCCAGAAGCATTCTCTCCTGACATTTCACCCACATCTATGTCAGGCATCCTCAGAAGTTGAGGGGTCTACTGGAAACTAGGCAAGTGAGGTTTATATATCTGTGGAATGTCCAGGATGGGAGAAAGCACTCTTGTCTGTTGGAGGCAAGTGCAAATGTTGCAATTGGCCAGCTCGGTTAGCATCGAAAAGCCTTGCAGCTTCAAAGCCTGGCTGCTTCCTGTCAGGGGGAATCCTTTGTTGGGAGGTGTTAGCTGGCCCTGATTGAGGTATGTGTTAATGTTGCAATTTGCCACCTTGATTGACATTTAATGGCCTTGCAGTTTCAAGGTCCGGCTGCTGGTTGCCTGGGGGAATCCTGTGTTGGGAGGTGTTAGCTGGCCCTGATTGAGGTATATGTGAATGTTGCAAATTGACACCTTGATTGGCATTCAATGGCCTTGCAGTTTCAAGGCCTGGCTGCTGGTTGCCTGGGGGAATCCTGTGTTGGGAGGTGTTAGCTGGCCCTGATCGAGGTATATGTGAATGTTGCAATTTGACACCTTGATTGGCATTTAATGGCCTTGCAGTTTCGAGGATTGGCTGCTTTCTGTGTGGGGGAATCCTTTGTTGGGAGGGGTTAGCTGGCCCTGACTGAGGTATATATGAATGTTGCAATTTGCCACCTTGGTTGGCATTTAATGGCCTTGCAGTTTCAAGGCCTGGTTGCTTGCTGCCTGGGGGAATCCTTGTTTCTTTTCCCCACCCTGGACATCCCAACCTCACTTACTCACTTATTGGAGAGAATGCTTCTGGAGCATGGTCATATAGCCAGGAAAACTCACAGCAACCCAGTGATTCTGGCCATGAAAGCCTTTGACAACACATTTAGGCTTATATGCCAAAGAGTGAGACGCCTCACCAAACTAGAACTCCCAAGATTAGAAAATAACGGAGCCATGGAAGCTAAAGTGCTGTCAAACTGCATTAATTCGACAGTGTAGATGAACCTTGTTCCCAAGCCAAGCTTCCACTTCCAGCTACTCAGAGCCTGGCTAGGTCTTGTTTGCAAACATGCCAGTGCAGGAGAGCAAGGCGTCCAACCAAGGCACCGTCGTCCCCCCCTCCCCCCCAAAAAAAGACTCACCCGCTTTCACCCCAAAGGCCGGCTCCAGCTTGGCCACGGTGATGACCAGGACGATGCCCAGGATGAACCAGTCCTTCCTCAAGCGGTCCAGGATGCCCATGGTGCCTCCAAGGTTGGAGGGCAGGCAGAGGGGCGCTCCGGGCGTCTGCAAAGAGAGAGCAAGCGGGCAGCGGGTCAGGGCCGGGCCGGGGTCCCTCCTGCAGCCGGGCTTGGCCAAGCGGCGCCCACCGGGCGGGTCCAAAGCCGCTCCCGCCGCGGGTCGGAGCCAGGCTCGGGTCCGGCGGCAGGGAAAGTCCCTCCGAAAGCCGCCATCTCTACCGCCTTCCTCCTAATAGACCCGCACCAGGGAAGCTCTTCTCTTCTCCGGGGATCCCAACAGTGGCTGAGAGAGTGGCACCTTGGCTCTCGTTCCCAGGGCTCAAAGCACACCGAGGTGAACGCTCTCAGGTCTCTTCGTCCCCAAACCGCCGGGGTTTATTTCTCAGGGTGGCACCTTTGCTTTTCGGAAGATTCAAAGTCAGGTTTCAGGCACGAGGGGGTTGAGTCAAAATGGGGCGTGAAATCACCTTCCAGCTGGTATCAATATGCGTGGGTAAGGAAAGAGGCACCCCCTTCGTAGCTGGGCTTGGGTCCCATCTCTGGATGGAGAGAGGGGAAGGTTTCAAAAACTTCCCCCAAAGAATGAAAATACAAGACATGCCAAATATTTCTGGTGCCTGGATCAGGGATGCTCAACCTGCAATGCAGGGGAGAAAGAAGAAGAAGAAGACGACCCAAGTCACCCTCTTTATGCTTTCTTTCCACCTTCTTTTGCAGGAGAAAATAAGGAAGGATAAGGAAGAAAAGAGAAAGGAAGGAAAGAAGGAAGGAAGGATAAGGAAGGAAGAAGGAAGGAAGGAAGGAAAGAAGGAGCAGGAAGAAAGGATAAAGGGGGAAGTAAGGAAAAAGAAAGAAGGAGAAGGAAGGAAAGAGAAAGGAAGGAAGGAGAAAGGAAGAAGGAAGGAGAAGGCAGGAAGTATAAAGAAGGAAGGAAGGGTAAAGGAGGAAGGAGGAAAGATAAGGAAGGAAGGCAGAAGGAAGAGGAAGGAAGAGGAAGGAAGGAAGGAAGGAAGGAAGGAAGGAAGGAAGGAAGGAAGGATAAAAAAGGAGGAAGGATAAGGAAGGAAGGAAGGAAGGAAGGAAGGAAGGAAGGAAGGAAGGAAGGAAGGAAGGAAGGAGGAGGAAAGAAGGAGGAAGGATAAGGAAGGAAGGCAGAAGGAAGGAGAAGGAAGGAAGGAAGAGGAAYYAAGYYGAAAAYAGGAAGYAAYGAAGGAAGGAAGGAAGGAAGGAAGGAAGGAAGGAAGGAAGGAAGGAGAAAAGAGGAAGGAAGGAGAAAAGAGAAGGAGAAAGAAGGGAGGGAAGAGAAGGGAGGAAAGAGAAAGAAGAAGGAAGGAGGAGAAGGAAGGATGGAAGGAGAAGGAAGAAAGGAAAAGGGAGAAGGAATTACTATGTTCCCCTGCTTTTCTGCCCCGACCCTAAGCGACTGTCCCTATGGAGTGGGGATCCAGTGCCATGAAGCCTCCCCGCCCCAGTGTAATTGTGGGGGGAGCGAGTGAGCATCAGTGATGCCCCCGAGAAGCCTCTGCTGCGCGCCTCTTCGAAGCTTTACGGCCGCCTGGCTGGCTGACGCGCGGCGCTTGACGTGGCCGGGGAGGAGCCCAGGCTTTCAGTTCCTGGTCTGGGACACGTGTCTTCGGAGGAGGAGGAAGAGGAGGAAGGCTGGGCCAGTGGAGAAGGGGCGTGCGGACCTGTGGCTCGGGTGGAAAGGGTGCTCTCGAGGCTTAATCAAAATAATAAGCCCCTGCTGAGGGGCATCAAGGGAAGGCATTCCCCATTGCAAGACTTCTTATTTACCATGGAGCATGGGTGCATCTATACCAGGCATGAGCAAACTTCGGCCGTCCAGGTATTTTGGACTTCAACTCCCACAATGCCTGGCCTCAGGCCTTTTCCCTTCCCTTAAGCGGCTGAGGGGGGGAAAGGAAAGGGCCTGAGGCTGTTAGGAATGGTGGGAGTTGAAGTCCAAAACAAAAAACCCAAATGCAGTTTGGCACCACTTGAACCACTCTGGCTCAGTACTATGGCATCATAGAGGCACCAGAACTATTCGGCAGGGAAGGCAAAAGACCTTCGAAAACTGCAACTCCCATAGCAGTGAGGCACAGCAGTCAAAGTGGGGCCTTTATTCTGCAGTGTGTGGTGCCAAGCTGCAAATTGTACACCTGAACCAGGTTCCAGGTGTCTCAATTGAAAGGTTCCATAATTGTGTGCATGAGATACAATGCTGTTATTTTGATTGGTCTAACGATGGCATTACTCCACTGGATTTGGGGTTTTTACATTGGATGAGGATAGCTTCATGACATGCCCTTGCAAGGGAGAAGAAGGTGGCTGATTCAGGCAGCCGATTTGGGCTGTCAGAAAGAATAGCAAGTTGTAAGCTATTTAATTTGTGATTGTTGCATTCTGGGGCCTGAAAGTTAATTAAACCTAACCTACCACTAAAAACCAAAATGACTAAACATACTTTGGACGCATCATGAGACTATAAAAGAATAATGATGGAGAAAGTGGAATACAGTAGGAAAAGCAGAAAATCGCCTTTAAAAAATATTTGTTGTGATGGCACGCCCAAGCCTTTGTGGAAATTATAGTGTCTGGCTTTACTCGGAGGCTATCTGATGCCTTCTGTTAAGATTAAGGCCCTTAGCAGGCAGAGGCACTTTAGGCAAGGTGAATAGATAACCAAATGAGTTTACTGAAACAAAATAAATAAAGGGTTAACTCCACCCAGAACTATCATAAGGTAACTCGTTATAAAAGGAGAATTTGCTGGTTGCAGGCATCTTTTTGGGGTCTTCAACAGTCTCTTTTGTCTCTGGTGCAAAGCGATGGTTATAAACTGCCTTAATCTTCTTTCCTGTGAAGCTTAGGCTGGCCAAAAGCTTCTGTTGTCCTTTGGACTGCTGGTATAAAAATGCTGCTAAGTGCAGCTGCAGAAGAAGGTGCTAAGAATGCCTGTTTGGATTGCTAGGCCTAGGATATCCAGGCCTCTAAGGCTCTACTGCAGAAAGAAGGAGGAGTCCAGCAAAAAGCTCTGTGCAGGGAAAAGGAGTAGGCCAACTGAGACTGGCCTCTGAGCGGTGTTTTAAGCTCCACCCAAAAAACTAATACAGAGGAAGGTCTCTACACTATTGGGAAGCCCTATGAACAGGGGGAACTGACGTAAAGGAGAAGAAGACAAAGCCAAGACTTCACATTTGTTCATCAAGCAAGCCAGAAAAAAGGAAGAACTGGTGGGATCACAAGCCTGAAAAAGTTACAGAAAATGAACATGTCAAACTACTCTGGGACTTCAAAATTCAGACTGACAGAGTTTTAGAGCACAATACTCCTGACCTCACGATCGTGTTAAAAAACTAAGTATGGATCATTGATGTTGCAATCCCAGATGACAGCAGGACTGAAGAGAAACAACTGGAAAAGCTGACACGATACGAGGATTTGAAGATTGAACTGCAAAGACTCTGGCACAAGCCAGTCAAGGTGGTCCCAGTGGGTGATCGGCACACTGGGTGTAGTGACTAAAGACTGCACTTAAACACAATCAGCGCTGACAAAATTACCATCTGTCAGCTGCAAAAGGCCACCCTACTGGGATGTGCACGCTCTATTCGCCAATATATCACACAATCCTAGACACTTGGGAAGTGTCTGATGTGTGATCCAATACAACAGCCAACAGAGTGACCTTGTTTGTTGTGTAGTAATCTTGTTGTGTTTCAAATAATTATTTTTTTTATAGACCGCCTTCTCTCCTCGAGGGGACTCAGGGCAGTTTACACACAAAAAAAGCAAACATTCAATGCCCATAAGCAAATACAAACACATCAAAATAATGCAAAATAATACAAAATAACAACTGTAAACTTATAACAAAAGATCCTGAGTTGGGTTCTGAACCCAAGACCTGAACAGGGTTCCTCATGTCTGGTACCCATGGAGAAATATAGTCTACCCCTGATATTCATTGATGGTCTCTCCAAGTACTAACCTGAGCTGACACTAGCTTCCAAAATCAGATGAGATATGATGCCTTTAGAGCAGTGGTTCTCAACCTGGGGTCCCCAGATGCTTTTGGCGTACAACTCCCAGAAATCTCAGCCAGTTTACCAGCTGTTAGAATTTCTGGGAGTTGAAGGCCAAAAACATCTGGGGACCCCAGGTTGAGAACCACTGCTTTAGAGTGTTTTAGGCCTCCAGATTTTACAAGACTACAATTCCCAACATTCCTAATCATTAGCTGTGCTGGCTAAAGATGGTTGGAGATGTTTGTTTTGTTTTTGTTTTTCGTGTCAGGAGCGACTTGAGAAACTGAAAGTCGCTTCTGGTGCAAGAGAATTGGCCGTTTGCAAGGATGTTGCCCAGGGGACACCCAGATGTTTTGATGTTTTAATGGGAGGCTTCTCTCATGTCCCCGCATGGGGAGTTGGAGCTGACAGAGGGAGCTCATCTGCGCTCTTCCTGGATTTGAACCTCTGACCTGTTGGTTTTCAGTCCTGCCCTCACAAAGGTTTAACCCATTGCACCACCAGGGGCTCCATGGTTGGAGTTGCCAGTCCAACAGTAATCTGGAGACACATATAATTCCTGCTGCTAGCCTAAATCCAGTTCCTAATGTCAGCTGCACTAAACCTATTGAATCAGTTGGTGAATTACAAATCAACAATTATACAGAGCTCACTGATTTGGCGAGACTAGCTAGTCTAGTTGAGACTAGCAGTTGAATTTTTGAGATCCATACCTTGTTATCTTAAGAAGAATATGGACTTTGTAAATAATAAATAGTCACTTACGTAGAACAGTTGTGCTCTGTGCCCTTTAATGTGTTTCGTCTTCATGTATTGGCTTCCCACCAGGCTCTGAGCCAGGAGTTCAGCTTCCAAAACTAGCACGGTGTGTAAATTCGCTCAGGGAAAAAAAACAGTGCCTCTTTCATAATTCTTTGGCAGTTATGACCAGTAAACATTCTGAAACACCCATTTTAATGCCTCTTTAGACAACCTCAATGTGGAGGCTTTTCAATGTGTGAACCAGTCCAGAGCTTATCGATTCTGTAATCTCACGACCCACACTTGCTCTTGAGAAGTAAGAGGCTCCTTTTTAAAAAATCACCTTTTACTTTCTCATCTTTTCAAACTCCCGCAGTATCAATTCAGAGAACTTCCTTCTGTACCGATGCTCCAACTTGCCCAGTTCAATATAAATGGACTCAACTCAACTAGGCTCCTATGTGCCTTTTCCAGCTCTGAGTATTACTTCTACCAGCAGTCTGCCTGCTTCCAAGCTCTCTGTTGCAGCCATGATGCAAATATTTCCTCCTCTCTGCTTTGTAAAAGCCCTTGTAAAATGATTGGGCATGATCTGAACATCAAATATTTATTGAAGCATATGGGCTAGTAAAGAAGTTGTCTCAAAGCAGCAACGCTTGTGGTTCACAGAGCTCCTTATATGCAATTCCAAATCCTTTTCATGCCTATACTATCCTTTTCTGAATCGCTCCCTTCACCAAGCTGCCAGCTTCATCTCTCTA